GAGTCTGTTCACGAGATGGCTGAATCGCCTGAGTCTGTTCACGAGATGGCTGAATCGCCTGAGTCTTTTCACGAGATGGCTGAGTCTTCTGAGTCTGTTCACGAGATGGCTGAGTCTTCGGAGTCTGGTCACGAGATGGCTGAGTCTTCGGAGTCTGGTCACGAGATGGCTGAGTCTTCGGAGTCTGTTCACGAGATGGCTGAGTCTTTGGAGTCTGTTCACGAGATGGCTGAGTCTTCGGAGTCTGTTCACGAGATGGCTGAGTCTTCGGAGTCTGTTCACGAGATGGCTGAGTCTTCGGAGTCTGTTCACGAGATGGCTGAATCGTCTGAGTCTGTTCACGAGATGGCTGAATCGTCTGAGTCTGTTCACGAGAGGGATGAATCGTCTGAGTCTGTTCATGAGAGGGATGAATCGTCTGAGTCTGTTCACGAGAGGGATGAATCGTCTGAGTCTGTTCACGAGATGACCGAGTCGTCTGAATTTGGTCACGAGATGGCTGAATCATCTGGGATGGCCGAATTGTCTGAGTTTTCGGTGTTCTCTGTCCTGAACAGAAGGTCGGCCGTTCCTGAGATTTCTAGTCTCTCTGCCCTACACAAGATGGCTGATTTCGAACTGCCTGAACCCTCTGCCTCACCCAAGATGGCGAATATTGAACCCTTTAACTTGGCCAAGAGGCCTTTTGTGTATCTTGTTTTTCTGTTTCTCCTTCTACCTAGGTTCCTGTTGCCTCCAGCGCCCCCTTGGATTTCAGTATTAGTCCGGCTTCCTGCTTGGCCAGCTCCACCCTGGCTTCCTTTTTCTCTGGTCTTGCCTTGGTTTTCTAGCCCTCCATCCCTCCCCCAGGGCCGTTTCAGGGTCTCCTCCCACCTGGATTTTTGTTTTTGTTTATGGAGTGTCTGGAAGCCACTCCTTAGTTGGAGGGTACTGTCATGGTTGGCTAACCATGATCCATTTGTGTGTGTGTGTCTGCACTGATTTTCATCACCTGGACTGATTACCTGATTATTACCTCATGATCATTGTTACATCTGTTAGTCGTTAGTTCTGTCTATTTAAGCATTTCCTGTTGGGTTGTTACCTGTCGGATCATTGTCATTGTTACCCGGTTCTTTGGCATGTCTTGGTTTCTTGTCATTCTGGATATCTTTTTATGTGTTTAATAAATCTACGTTTGCTACTTGCACTTGCATCCTGATCATTACGTGACAGGGTGGGGCCACGTTCCTATTGGCCAGTCAGGTGAGCATAGTCTTGTCTTGGGAGTCGAATCATTATTACACCATTGTTCGATTCACTAGATAGATGCCACCTCTGCCTTAGTCGAGCACGGACTGGACACTCCAATGTTTGGGTAAGATGATGACACACACAACTCGATGAGTAGCTGGCTGAACAAGTTCATCATCACTGAAGATTAAATATTAAAAGTCAAGTTTACCTAGCATGATGGCTAATTAACGATTAGCTTTACTAGCGATTAGCAAGCTAATAATATAATACACATTCATTCATGAATGTGAGTGCTATTTTTTAATGCTACCTCATCGAGTTGTGTGTGTCATCATCTTACCCAAACATTGGAGTGTCCATGTTCAACTTAGAGCTTAGATCAGTCCCAAATATCAAGCGGACCCTACCCGAGCCTGTTGTGTCCGAGCCCGGCCCGGCCCGACACATGAACTGTAATTTTGTGCCTGATATAAAGTAAACCCGACCCTTTTTTAATACGTGGGTCATTATTATAAATGACATTCTCAACTACTTTCTATGTTACTTTCTCACACCCGTAACATTTATGTTTTGTCCCGCTCCCGCCCGCAAAAAGACATCCAAATACTTTCAAGTTAGCCTATGTGTCGCCACCATAAACATCAGCATGAATGCTCCTAATAAATTATTTGTTATTAAAGCATTAACACACAAACCACTATTATGATATAAAAACAAGCAGGATACTGCGTGCATGGTTTGGCGTGACTCAATGCGTGCAAAGTGTGCTCCCTTCATAATTACTAACACATCTTACACATCTCTGTTGTTATCAATGAATCTTTCATAATATCCACACTTTGTTTGTTATACTTACAGGATTTGCCAGCATACAGAATTCAACACTAAACAAAAAGCCAGTTTTGAGCGTTGAGGGAATATTTCTAGTTTGCAGAAGTACCGCAAATCGTTTTATTCTCCCGCAACCCGCACACACAGAGCGAGCACACACCCGCACTCGCACTTACACTCGGCCATCAAATCTAGTCCCACGCCGCACTCTATTGCGTTGGGAGTGCACGTCTCTAGATCAAAGGCCCAGACCGAGGATAGTGACGGGAAATATCGGTGGCCCGGGTCGGGTCAAGTTCGGGCTCTGACAAAGAATCTAAGATCTAGCTCAACTAAAGCAGAGACGGTATCTATCTAGATTAACCGAAAAATTGTGTAATGATTCAGTTCGACCTGTCTACTGTATGAGTTCGACTCCCAAGACAAGACAATGCTCACCCGACTGGCCACTAGGAACAGCCAGTCGGGTGATAGCAAAATACAAACATTTTTTTTGTATAAAAAAATATTTTGATCACAAAAAATATATAATTAAGTATTTTGAGGGAGATTTTTTTTTCTCAGAAATAATTTTAAAATATTAAAATTTATATATTTTATGTTCTATGAGAAAACACTTTCTCTCAAAACTTCTTTAGTCTCAAATATTATTTTTACTATTGGTATGAAAACTTTTTCTCTCAAATATTTTTTCTCTCATGAAATGCTTTTTTGCTATCAGTGTGATAACTTTTTTTCTCAAACATTTTTTTTTCTCTCAGATCATTTATTTTGTTGCATGTAATAAAGACACAATCCTACCTCCATATCTTTGGAGGGTGTTTAAGACTCTTTGTCTTGTCATGGCTCGTTCATTTGCATGTTTCATGACAAGGGTGGTTAAAGTCATGACAGGCATTATTTCTACTCTTTCTAAGAATGGAAAGAATGGAAAGTATTGGATAATACATTCTATCATAACCTAAGATGCATTTTGACTGGAGAAGGCCACGTGGATTCCAATGATACCTCACACAGTGTACAAACATGTCAGTAAATCACGTTTACATTCATATACATGAATATAGGCATTCAGAGTTTGTCTAACACATCTAGAGAAGTCATGATTACACTAAAATGACAATAAAACACAAGGGTATGCAGGAATATATCGTATCCTTTTCAGAATTAGTCAAGTTACAGATTTCACTGAAGGGATGTCTGTTTAGGTGTGTGCATTTTGGAGAGAGCTGTCTGGCCACCTGGCATTCCTTTCTGAGGAGATAGCGACCTCCTTTGAAGCTTGCACCCAGGGTTCTCAAGTCTCACGCATTGGCCGTGAGACACACGCAATTCAACCAGTTCACACGCCACTCAACCAGTTCACACGCCACACTGTGTATTTCTCACTAAAGGCAACGCCAACCAAGTTGTCCTGCAAGCTTTATATATAACGTTGTATACGAGGCGTAGGAACACAAAGTGAAGTTTCCTGCCGCCAGCACATATCTCTCGGACAGATTGCGTTCGTTAGGCAACGCGCAAAACAGGGAAGTTGACGGAACATTCTCGTCCACCGTTCGTTACTAGGTAACCAACAACATCGCGCAAACACACGTCTTGATGGATAAGGGAAGAAAGCTCGTCTAACGTTTTTAGGCTATATCGTTTAATATATAGCCCATCGTATACAGTATTATTGATCCAGTCAAAAACGCTACAACTACTTTGCAACCAGGCCAGAAGCTTTGGCTCAGTTTGGCTTGCTTACATTACTTGAAACCATAAGGGGAGAGGGTATGGGAAGGAATGATGTATTTCTTCATTTTATTTTAATTCATTTCATTATATATTATGTATTAATAGTCTTTCTAGTTACATTAAGGCTAAATGTATTAAAGCAGAGTGCTCGGGGTAATATTATATCCTCTTAAAACATACATTAATCATTGCCATTGTATTTGTATTTCTCAAAGATGTCAGGGAAAAAGCAAAAAGATATTTGTACACACACACACACACACACACACACACACACACACCTTAATATTCTAATATGTCCATTTGTTCACAATGTCCCACCACACAAAAAATCATTATACCATTTCGACTAGACATATTCAAACTGCAAAAGGATTTGTTTTTCCAAACTGTTTGGAGCAATTTGTTGTATTTTTGTAATTTTTGTATATTTTAGAAATATAACATTAAAGAGTAGGCTATATTTTATGTGATGAATTGCTGTCATTTATGAGATTTACCAATTGTTAAAATTTCTATTTGTGCTGGCTAATTATAAACAATGGCTAAAATTGGGGGGTGGGGGCGGTATCTCCATTGGGGCTTCTCCCCCAACCGCATGTGATCTCACTCCAAACTTTTGATATAACTTGAGAACCCTGTTGTACCTCTATGTGGGGGTGTCATGTGTCTTAATTTACTTGCAGGCTTTTAGGGACTGAAAGCTTTGGAAATTTAGAAAGAATGCATTTAGTTTTTCAGATAAACAACCCCGATTCACCCTTCGCCCATACCTTACACATACTTACATACATTCATCAAAAGTTTAAACTAAAACACTTTATACTCAATATCTCACAATGAGTCTAAATTCACATTATATTTTCTGCAAATATTTTCACCTTAGTCTTTTGTGATCTGGTGAAATAAATATCTCTCTTCCTCTGAGAAGATAGTTTTATTTGCTGATGAGTGTGATGTGACTTGACAGCATGAAGAGTGTCTTATTTTCTTTATTCTCTCTCCCTCCTTCTCTCTCTCTCTCTCTCTCTTCTAATGTAGGTTAAGCTGCTGTGATATGACAGATGAAGGTTGTTCTGATGTGACTTCAGCTCTGAAATCAAACCCGTCACACCTGAGAGAGCTGGACATGAGCAGGAATAAACTAGGAGACTCTGGAGTGAAAAACCTCAGTGATCTACTGATGAACCCACAATTCAAGCTGGAGAAACTACAGTTAGTGTCATTATACTGTACAGCAATTACAGTGTGACTGAAGTTTATTTATTTGAAGACAGCAGGGCTTATGTTTCATTGTTTATAGTGCACTCTCTGGGTTTTCCCTACAGTATTTTTATGTGATTTTTAATGTTTAATTCCCAACATCTGATACAATGCATTGATTGTGTACATGCAGAAATCTGCCTTTTCAACAGAGAATAAAGAAGAGAGACGTCAAATAAATAGTTAGAAATGAAAGAGAAGAAACAGTGTCTTCCAGCGCACAGAACTAGTGTGACTGGGTTTTAAAACAGACTATTGGAAACTAAATGCTGCTGTAGCTCTTCAATAAGATGATCATCATAGATGTGAACTATTGTTATTTCTCTGTCTTCAGTCTTAGTGATTGCAGTATTACAGAGAAACAGAGTCTCATCCTGACTTCAGCTCTGAAATCAAACCCGTCACACCTGAGAGAGCTGGACCTGAGTGTGAATAAACTAGAAGACACTGGAGTGAAAAACCTCAGTGATCTACTGATGAACCCACAATTCAAGCTGGAGAAACTACAGTTAGTATCATTATACTGTACAGCAATTACACTGTGTTTATTTTAGTTTAGTTTACACTTAGTTTATTTATTTGAAGACAGTAGGGCTTATGTTTCATTGTTTATAGCAGTGCACTTTCTGGGTTTTCCCTATGTACATTTTTATGTGATTTATTTAGATACTGTAGATTACCTAGATAGTAATTGTTTAATTCCCAACATCTGATACAACGTACTGATTGTGTACATGCAGAAATCTGCCTTTTCAACAGAGAATAAAGAAGAGAGACGTCAAATAATAGTTAACCCCCTGGGGACCAAGGTCTATTTGAGGTCCTTGAGATTTTCTGACATGCCCTGACATCTGTGCTTTTTTCAGTTGCTTATAAACATATTAATGGCACAGGTGAAATTACACTATGTTTAGCACAAACAGGGCAACCATATTATGTGTGCAACATGTATGAACATGTTTGTATTTGAAGATAAGAAGATAATTTCAGCTTCATAAAGAGAAATCATTCATGTCTCTGTGACAAGTATTTAATGAGTTACAGTTTACAGATTTTTTGCGGAGACAGAGTGAGCTGAAAGCGCACCCTGTTTATTTTACAAAAACACAAGGTTTTGATGTTACTAAGAGTGTACACAAAAAAGAAGACTCTCTATAGTTTATAATCATGTATTGATTTGATTTATATGACCATTAATGACGGAGTATTTTAAGTCTATGTTGCAGCTATGTGAAAAAAAAAATCAAAACGCGGGGACGCATTTTTTGGTGTTCAGACGGTTAAAATTAAAGCAAAGAAAAAGCGGTAACACTTTATAATAACTGCACGCTATTAATCATTATTTAAGAATGAGTAAACAGTTAATTCATCATTTATAAAACATTAATAGACATTAATATGCTGTTTATAAATATAGCTATACATGAAGAGTTCAGATGCAAAAGCCTCTAAGTGCCATTTGAAATTTTCTTCTAGAATGATCATTTTTATCAAGCTTGTATATTTAAGCTCAGTGATTTCACTTAAATGGCAATGATAATTACCTATTAATTGTTATTTAAGTGAAATTACTGAACTTAAATATACAAGTTTGATAAAAATCATCGTTAAAGAAGAAAATTTCAAATGGCATTTAGAGGCTTTTGCATCTGAACTCTTCACATGCTTTTTTCTTGATTTCTAAGCATATCTATAAAGCGTTTAATAATTGTATTTTCATACTTTGTTAATGATCAATTAATGATTTCTAAATGAAGTATAGCATTATTTACAAACCAGTTGTTTAAGAGTTGTCAGTCATTCATAAGATCACCTAGAAAGTGTAAGTAAATGTAGTAAATACAGGTAGTTATAAAGCATTTAGCAGTGGTCAGTTAACTATTTTTGTGACCTAATCTAAAGTGAGGACTATTCATGCTTTGTAAAGCATTTATAAAGGTGATTTAAAGACTCGTTAATCTTCTAAACAGTAAAATGTAACAAACACAACGCAGTGATACAGAACATAGAAATATTTAACAGCCTTTAAAAATGCTTTACAAGGCATGAGTAGTCCTCACTTTAGATGAGCTCACGAACATAGTTAACTGACCACTACTAAATGCTTTATAACTACCCAAATTAACCCTTAATTACAGCATTAATACATGTTAATAAAGCATTTATTAACACATTAAGTAACCATCACTATATGTCTGAATAATAAGATGTATGAATGTACATTTAAATAGTTTATTAATCATTTACTTACTCGCTCTAAGTATGAACCACTGAAAACTCTTAAATAACTGGTTCATAAAACATGCAATTATTTATTTAGAAATGAAAAATTTATCATTAATAAAGGATGAAAATACAATTATTAAACAAATTATAGATATGCTTTTAAATCAAGAAGAAAGCATTTATAGCTGTATTTATGAACTGCTTATTAATGTCTATTAATGCTTTATGAATGATGAATTAACTGTTTACTCATGCTTAACTAATGATTATTAGCGTGTAGTTATTATAAAGTGTTACCGAAACAGCTTCTTCCAGCGCACAGAACTAGTGTGACTTGACTTAAAACAGACTATTGGAAACGAAATGCTGCTTTAGCTCTTCAATAAGATGATCATCATAGATGTGAACTATTGTTATTTCTCTGTTTTCAGTCTGAGCTATTGCAGCATTACGGAGAAAAAGAGTCTCATCCTGACTTCAGCTCTGAAATCAAACCCATCACACCTGAGAGAGCTGGACCTGAGCAGGAATAATCTAGGTGACTCAGGAGTGAAGCACTTATATGCCATACTGAAGGATTCACACTGTAAACTGGAGAGATTGAGGTCAGTCACATTCATATAAAAGAATCAAAATGCTTAAAATCACTTCAACTATTTAAACTTGAACACATTAACATTATATTTGTACAAATATTTTCACCCTAGTATTTATTGATCTGGTGAAATAAAGATGAAGATCTCTCTTCCTCTGTCTATTTTATTTGCTGATGAAGATGATGTGACTTTACAGAATAAAGTGTCACATATTTTCTTCATTCTCTCTCTCTCTCTCTCTCTCTCTCTCTCTCTGCTAATGTAGGTTAAGATACTGTGATATGACTGATGAAGGTTGTTCTGATGTGACTTCAGCTCTGAAATCAAACCCGTCACTCCTGAGAGAGCTGTACATGAGCGGGAATAAACTAGGAGACTCTGGAGTGAAAAACCTCAGTGATCTACTGATGAACCCACAATTCAAGCTGGAGAAACTACAGTTAGTATCATTATACTGTACAGCAATAACAGTGTGACTGAAGTTAATTTATTTGAAGACAGCAAGGCTTATGTTTCATTGTTTATAGCAGTGCACATTCTGGGTTTCCCTATTGCTCACATTTTTATGTGATTTATATCTAGATAGTAATTGTTTAATTCCCAACATCTGATTCAACGTTCTGATAGTGTACACGCAAGAATCTGCCTTTTCAACAGACAATAAAGAAGAGAGACGTCAAATAAATAGTTAAAATAATAGAGAAGAAACAGTGTCTTCCAGCGCACAGAACTAGTGTGACTGGGTTTTAAAACAGACTATTGGAAACTAAATTCTGCTGTAGCTCTTCAATAAGATGATCATCATAGATGTGAACTATTGTTATTTCTCTGTCTTCAGTCTGGGTTATTGCAGTATTACAGAGAAACAGAGTCTCATCCTGACTTCAGCTCTGAAATCAAACCCGTCACACCTGAGAGAGCTGGACCTGACCGGGAATAAACTAGGAAACACAGGAGTGAAGCATTTATGTGCCGTACTGAAGGATTCACACTGTAAACTGGAGAGATTGAGGTCAGTCACATTCACATACAAGAATCAAAATGCTTTAAAATAACTTTAACTGTTTAAACAATAACCAACGCATTCTCACCCCAAGGCGTCACCTAACTGACGCCTTGGGAAGCATTTGACCATGCTTCAATATCTGACGCTTTAGGCGCCCTTTAGCGTCAGTTAGATGACGCCCTAGGATCGCGTGTACCCTACCCCCACCCCAGACCTAAACCTAACCGCGTCCTCTAGCTGACGCTTTCCTTTAGCGTCAGTTAGATGACGCCGTAGGATCGCGTCATTTAAGTGACGCTAATGGGCGCCTAAAACGTCAAATATTGAAGCAATGGGCTGCAATAACACATTAAAATTATATTTGTACAAACATTTTCACCTTAGTATTTTGTAATTTGGTGAAATAAATATAAAGATCTCTCTTCCTCTGTTTTATTTGCTGATGAAGACGATGTGACTGCAGAATAAAGAGTCACTTATTTTATTCATTCTCTCTCTCTCTCTGCTAATGTAGGTTAAGATACTGTGATATGACAGATTGTTCTGATGTGACTTCAGCTCTGAAATCAAACCTGTCACACCTGAGAGAGCTGGACCTGAGCGGGAATAAACTAGGAGACTCTCACGTGAAACACCTCAGTGATCTTCTGATGAACCCACAATTCAAGCTGGAGAAACTACAGTTAGTATCATTATACTGTCCAGCAGTAAGTCATTTCAGTGTGACTATTTTTTATTTATTTGAAGACAGCAGGTCTTATGTTTCATTGTTTATAGCAGTGCACTTTCTAGGTTTTCCCTATTGTTCACATTTTTATGTGATTTTTATCTAGATAGTAATTGTTTGAAGGGGTGGTTTACTGATTTTTCTTTGCATTATTGTGTTTATGTGGTGCAATATAACATGTATTTGTGGCTTTTCTTTTTTTTAAAGTTTTATTTTTCATAAATTTCACCTTTATTGTAAGCCACTTACTCCTCTGTCATTTGAAAGACCGGTTGACTATGGTTTACACTCCCACAGAAACAGGCAATGGGCTCAGATTGGTTAGTTGGGCCCGTGTGTTGTAATTGGCTAAACTGCGTAGTGCACGTTGTCCGGAAACTTCATGCACATTACCTATACGGCCGAAAGTTGCATGCGCTCCGGTCAATGTAAATAATGGTGTCAGTACTGCCGTATCAGTTTAAGCCAGAATCAGACCCAGAAAACGACGATTAAGAGTCAAGCAGAACCTCCACAAACACGGCTCTTACAAAACGTCTATTTTTTTTTTCTATTTTGCTATTATTATATAAGAATTTTGATACGTTTCTTGATATGTTTCTTGAAAATGCTACTGCTGCTTGTTAGCTTTTGAGATACGGTTTTCTCCTGATTAAACATGTAATATAACGGAATAAATATTTTTTTAAAGTTATTGCTGCGATTACATAGCTATTTTGTGTAAGACAAACGTGTATAAAGTAAAAAAATATATAGGCTAACTAACTGGCTACTATATACACAAACAGCGTTGGCATTAGTTTACGTTCTTGATCAAATCGAAAAATTTCGTATATACGAAAAGTATAAAAGTATACGAATAAAGTATATATACATGGAAAAATAAATTTACAAAATTAGTACACAAATACAAATTCCGCAAAATGTTTGTATGCGTTTGTCGTAGACACACA